TATTAGAAGAGTGGAGTTAGAATTTGAGAGCTCTGAATTGGCTTTAGCTGAGCTAGCTTGCCAATCTATGTTGTAGGTTGGGGACTGAAGGCAATTATAATCCACTTTAACCATTAATGCCCATGAATTTCCGGAGGGTCTGTGTATGCAGCCTGCGAGCAGCAGGCGGCAGAAACCCCGGCTAACGCAGCTCCCACCTTCTCCCATTGCACTTGGGCCCCGTGCTGGGCCCATAAATGGGACGAGAGCTCCGCACTTTGGATATAATTCTGGAGAAGATGCGTTTCTCAGAGTCACAGTGACACCAGCTGAGTGCTGAGCTCTCCTTCAAACATATCCCTGTTCCTGTGTGCGGCGGATCAGCGCTGCCAAATCTGGCCCCGAGTACCCTGCAGTTTCTGCAATCGCAGCTACACTGAACAGGGGCTTTATTGCCACCTTCCTAGAAAGTTCCCGTATTCTCCTCGTCAGACTTTCATTAATCATTTCACAGGGAAAATTAAAGCTCATGAAAGCTGTAGCTTGTGTCAGCCGCCTCAGCTGTTTCTGTGAATCTGTTTTTTTGGTACAGTGCAGTGGAATTTAGGGAAATACTGAGAGCTTTGTGTTAAATCTTCAAGGGAAAAATCTGCTGGCAGAGCACAAGGCACATACTGGTCATCAGTGTTAGATGCATCTTTGGCATAATCTGTGCTGACCTTAATAACACAGAGAACGTGGCTTAGCTGCTATCAGCGTGATCAGAAACGCTGTGCAAGCTGTACGTTGTAAGGCAAGGGTTCCTAGACACCCTGCTTCTCAAGTAACCACCGAGTGCCTTTTAAATTCTCATTTATCCTTTCCCTAGCTAAAATGTAATGGTGTCACTGTTTAAAAAAAATGCTTGAATTTATACCAAGAGTTTAATGGCAATATAGCTTTTTTTTTGTTGTTCCACTTAGCAGTTTGGCAGCACGAAGGCCCTACTGTGTTCTGGCTTTGAAGTCTGACAAAAGCCTGGCCTCGGTTTGTTATGTGGGGACAAGAGACTTGCCTTGCACAACAGCTATTCCCCTGCCGCCCCGGGACGCTTGGGTGAATTGTGCTCTCCTAACAGAAACAGTTAGCTCATCCTTTATTTTTATACCAGCACACACTCCGAAGAGATTTACAGCCTTTGGAAAGAAAATGAAAGCACCTTCTAATAGGGCATTGTCATTAGACTTGCTGTTTTCCAGAAGGGCTTTGCTGTATGCAGTATGCAATGCATTATAATTATATGACAGGAGAACAGTGGAGAATATGGCATAGCGTTTCCCATAGGTTTCCTCTTGGAGATAAGATAAAGATAAACATTGGCCTTTGCTTCTCCGAGAAGCAAAAAAAAAAGAGGCCGGCGGCTTCCTGGAGGCCGCGGACGCCGGCGTCTCCGTAGCGGGGACAAAGTGAGGAAGCTCCGGCCCGCGGTGCGTGGCCTTGGCTTCCTGAGAACGGGGCCTTATCTGCGCCGCGTCCCTGCGCTCCCGCGGCTCTATCTGCGCGGCTCCCGCGGCGCCCGGGACGCTGTTTATTTTTCCAGGGCGCTCTCCCAGCCGGGGCAAACAAGGATGCCTTTAATGGCATCGCTGCTCTTGCGGGCGGCTGCCGAACGGGACGCGCGGGAGCAGCACCGGGGTCTGGTTTAGGGTATGTGCGGCTTGACTCTAGGTGACCCAGCTCTGCTTCAGCCGTGACACCTGGGCCAGGGAAATGTTTTGCTTAGAGGGGCTTTCCTAGAGCAGGCAGCGAATCTCCAGTTACAGGGCAAGGCAGGCAGCAGCCCCACTGCTCCCTTCACGCCCCTCACTAATGCGCTTCTCCACAGTGAACTGTGCAAAGGGGAATAGCAGGGGAGTGGGAAATAGTGAAAAAATTGCAGGAACCTTCCCAGATTTAGTAGTTAGCAAGACAGTGTCAAACGCAGGGAGATGAAAAGCTTTGGAGCTTTGCAGTTTCCTGCATTTTTTGCTTTCTTTTTAATTTTCTCGTAAGTTATTTTATTACTCTGCAGCCAAGCTTTGTAATGCACTGACATCTGCTGTGTGTTTGCCTAATGCAGCAAAGCAGCGAGCCCTTCTGGCTCCACGAGATGGGCCTCGGCCAGCGGGATGGGAAGAGAGGGGAAGGTGGGCGGCAGAACCCGCAGGCTGCTGCCTGGACGAGGCGTTAGGAAGGAGCAGCCCCCCTGCCCGAGGGTCCAGCAGCTTTGCTGGCACGGGAGCGAGCCCATCCCCGTGCTCGGAGCTGCAGTCCTGCTGACTGCCTGCAGTCATTGCCGTTTAGCAAGAGCTGCCTTTGCCCAATCTTTGGGTTTTTGCTCCAGTTGGGAAGGGGGGGATGCAGTGGCGGCTGCGGGTGGCCCGCAGGCCTCGCAGCCCCCACTGGTGCCGGCCACGCTTCGAGGGGACCTTCCGGAGACCCAGGGCAGCACCAAGCAGAAATCTCTTGCCAAAACACCTTTAAATGAGAAATTGACCTTTGTCCGCTGGAATAGTTTAAGTCAGTTCCACTTTCTGTCAAAAATCAATCATTTTTCTAACAAAAAACTGAAGCCAAGCTGAGATCTTTTGGATATGTTTTTCCATTGAAAGTGTTTTCAGAAACATCCTTTCTATTTGAGAAGTCAAGTGTTTTACCAGCTTTGGGGAAGAAGCTCTTCCACAGCAGTGGTACAAAACCAAATAGTTACCCTGGAAAGGGGGGAGCTTCCTAGCCAATTGTTTCTGAAAATGCAGCCTGCAGGCAGCTCCAGGGCCGGCGGACACGGAGCGGTGACGGTGCCCGCAGCGGCTCAGGAGAGGGGCAGCCCTGCGCCTTGAGGCGGGAAGACGGGCGCCCTCTCATCTCCTTCCCTCCCAAACTGCGGGTAAAAGCTTGCTTCGTAAATGCAGAGTTCTCTAGAAAAAGCAGGCTGCACGTGTGGCATAAGGGCTAGTTTCTCCTTTTGTGAATTCCCAGCAAATCCAAATTCTGGGTGTGAATCTGCCCTTGGAGGTTGCTGTGCTATGTTACAGCACTGAAATCACTGAAACAAAAAAGTGCATCTTTCCCTTGTCAGAAGCCCTAAATGGGAGGGGAAATCCTGCTCCTGTTGGGATCAGCAGGGTAATTCCTCCTGAGCTTCAAAAGAACCAGGACTGGGCTCTGTGCTGTGCTGGGCGCTGGTGAAAAGCCCCGGAGTTCCTCTTTGGCTGCGCTTTTCCCTGAGCGGGGAAGGGGCTGCATCGCTCTCCGGCCAGCCGGGCGGGTCGGGAGCGTTGGTGTGGGAAGGCCCCGGGAACGCTTCTCCAGCTGCACTGGGCATTAAGTGGCTGCTCTGTTCGTTTGGGGGGTTCAGTGGGAGTGATGGCTTCTCTGGAGGCTTGGGCCAGAGCGCCCCTCACCATCTTCAGTGCTTCAAACAGCACCTTTGCAAACCCAGATGTCTGAAATCAGTCACGATGATCAGCAAGTAGACAGGAATTCGCTGGTACCTCTAGAGATAGTGAGTATTACTGAGTTCTAAGCAACCATAATCAGGAAAGTCAGTGAAGCAGTTACTGGAGGGTTTGAGGTGGGTAAAACTTGATCACCTGCCATGCTTCTCTGTAAATACTTGAAGTCTCCAAAATTGTGATGGACGGTTTAAATGTCAGGTATATCACTGCAGCAGTGGGTAGATACTCAGGCTTTAAGCAGGGTTGCAGTCATTACTAGATGAAGCTATTGGGTCAAACTGAGCCGCTTTTTCTACTTCAGAATTTAAGGCATGCATGGGGCTGCATTTCTTTCTTGATACGCACTGCACGTTTCCAGAGCGGCTCTCTGTGTAGATGCCGGGATACGCGGAGCACTAAAAACTAACAAACCACTCAAGGCAAAAAGGTTCCAAAAAAAGCCAAACCCCTTCATTTCCTCTCCTACGTTTGAGTCAGATAACATCAAGGTTAAAAAAAAAAAAAAAAAAAAAAGAACCAGCCTTCCAGCCTGTCCATTAAGAAAGAACTGCAAGAGAAGAACAAATTTTAATTTTTTGGAACTTGAAAATTATGCCAAACATCTGCTGAAGAAGCGATGTCTGCTTGGTGCAAGTCGTGCTCCCGTATTCAGGGGCTTTGCAGCCCTGACCAAACACCGAGCCTTGCACCCCGTGTGCAGCTGGGTGGCACAGGGGCTATTCCTGCTTGACACCAGACACTGAGGGCACCAGGGAGGTGAGATGGGTGGCATGGAGCTGCCTATGCCAGGGACATCCTTCCCTAGCCAGCACAGTGCCCGTTGCGCGGCAGGGCTCTGCTTCCGAGGTTGCACAGCTGCCCCCGAAGTCAGGAGTTGGCTGGACTCGACATTCTGCTGCTTTTAGAGCAGGTTATGTATTATTGTACCATCCCGTTTGTGTTGTATTGTGTTCCTGTTGTGCTATCCTGTTTGCTGCTTAACAAAAGAGGGGAGTTGTAGTCAACTGACAGGTTGCTTGTGTTCCACTTGTGCCCTGTGCATCGTTTGGTCGTTAAGGACCACAGACTGCTCTCGACCAGTTTGCCTCAATATATCACCAAAATTGACAAGATTTTGAAGATAAGTCCCGCTTGCCGTTGAATAGGATAAGCGATGTGCATCTCCTGAACCTGGTGCGCACTGGGGTGATTCCTGCGGGTGCTGGGGTCATTTACCCCCCTCGGAAGCGGTGCCTGGGCCAGGATTTTGCACCGCTCTGCTGGCGAAGGGTTCAGGGGGCCGGGCTCAGCTGTTAGTTCTGCCCAGGGCTTTGGCGTGACCCTTTGGGTCACAGAATGGGATAATTTGTGTTTAATAGAGGTTTGATTTGCCTCTGGAGCATGCATTAGTTCTTCTGGTAGCTGTTCCTATACGGAGTGTATTTCCTTTATTTGCTGGGAGGGATAGCTACAAAATGGATGAATAAAATAAAACCATTTAAAAATGACTTAAATGTAAGTAAATGTGATAGAATGAATGGGCTGAACTTATATGTCCTTCTCCAGCTGGATTGGACCCAAGCCCCTTCTGAGGTGCCAAGGCACTTGGCTTAATTGTTTTTCGGTGCTTGGTCTGGATTCCCTTGCACTGGAGGAGCAAGCGGATGGTGGGAGCAAACGGGACACACGGCGGCTCTGGCTGGGGCAGAAGCAGGACGGGCTGGAAACGCCGTCCGGGCTCCTGGGCTTGGTACTTTCCCAGCCCACATTTGTGCACTCAGAAACTCGGAATAAGGTGGCAATAAACAGAAAGATCTCAGGGTGGCTGCACAGACAAAACTGAGCCTCCACAACCGAGCTTTCATAAGCTGAGGTTTTTCAGCATAAACTGAAAATTCACATTTCTCAGCGTTTGCATTCTTGCGATGGGGGAAGTGGAGTGTTTGGGGGTTGCGTTGTGCTTCTAAGGCAGCTGGTGCCCTGGGGCAGTGCAGGAGCTTAAAAGACTTCAGGGGTCCAAGTCACCTTCCACTGACACCAGGACCTCGGTTTCCAAAGTTCTGCATGCTTTAAAGTTACCTATTTAAGTTTGGGGGGGAACTACATGTAATCTCAAGTTGACTTTGGCCAGACTTTAGGGATTTTTTTTTTCCTCTAGAAGGAAGAAAACAGCTTCCACCACACTGCTTCCAACCGATTCTCTCAAGATTGCATGTGGTTTGATCCAGCAAAGCAGAGATTTGCTCTGAGATCAAAAACGGTTATTTAAATAGAAATCTCACAATCTTTTTAGGCACGCCGTAGTTATATTTGAAAAAAGGGAAACGAGCTGGTGCTTCCAGTTGCTCCCAGGGCAGACTGGCCCCGGCGCCGCTGCCTGCAGCGGGGCCGGCGCCGCGTCCCCACGCCAGCCCCGCACGCGCGTGTCGCGCGGACCTGGCGGGTTTCTGCGGCACGAGTGACCTCTTTGCGTTGTTCCCTCGACGCTGCAGTGTCGCACACCCTGCGTGGAAACAGTTTCGCAGGTTGCCTGAGTTCAGAACTGCAGTTGTGTTCAGAGAAACGGTGGAAGGCATGAATTGTCTCTGCTGTCCTTACAGTGGTTGGACGGCTTTTTCTTGAAGCTTCCCCTTTAAAATAATCTTATATTTGTACCCTTTTTATTTTAGTTGCATCTTCACCAAACCCTGCATTTTTTGCAACGATCTAAACAAATTCGTTTTTTTCGATTAGCTGGAACAGCTAAATCCTAGCTAAAACGGTGGTCCGGTAAATAACATTTATTTCTTAGTAACAAGAGCAGAAGCACCACCTGATTTGACGCTAATTTTGTTGCACACACAAGCACACACACACGCACATACACACACACAAAAAGGAGAGAAACAAAAAACAACCACTGTTGTTCTGCAGCTCGAAGGCGCCGGGACGTGAGCGGACTCGCCCGCTTCCTTTCGCTTTGAGGAAAAATAAGCATCGGTTTCTCGGCGTTAAAAGGAGCAGCTCGCTCTGCCCGCGCGAGGGGAGTCCGTTGCGGTCGCGCGTGTTCGCGCTGCGCGGGCCGGGGCGGCAGGAGCGCGCGGACACGCGCGGACACGGCCGGACCCCTCCGCGGGGAGTAGGAGCAGGCTCAGAGCTAAACGGGACGGTGAAAACTTGGATGGCGAGGGAGTAGGAGCAGGCTCAGAGCTAAACGGGACGGTGAAAACTTGGATGGCGAGGGAGTAGGAGCAGGCTCAGAGCTAAACGGGACAGTGAAAACCGGCCTCGCAGCACCGGCTGAAAAGCAAAAGCGGCTCTCGCTCTCCGCAAACGCTCCCTCCGAAGCGGTCCTTGGAGCGGCGGGGAGCTGAGTGCGCCTGGGACGCTCCCCTCGGGCTCTGCTAAATCGACTTCCATTCGAGGCGATTTCAGCCGAGGTCTTGATAAGGTTGCTCTGTTCCTCGTGAAGGTCCCGTTATGGATGTGCGGCCATCACGGGCTGGGGGCTGCTTAGTTTTTCCTGTGAAAACAGAAATCTCTGCGCGGCTGGGAGCTTGTAAAAACAAGCCCGGAGCTACCCGAATTTTTTACATTTACAGCATAACGAGAAACTAAACTCTGCTCTGCAGAACGTGCGGGGACCTACATGGGCTTTGCACAAGGACGAGTATTCATGCGGAGAAGCCACTTCCCAGGTGCCCGAGTCCCTGCCTGCAGCCTGCGACTTCAAGCGCGTTTCTGAAGCGCTGCGGCCGGGGGCAGCTCGGAGCGGCAGCGCCCTCAGCCCTCGCCTCCCGGTTCCGCCGAAACTGCGGGGGTCGGGGCTGCGGGGGGCCCGCGTTTGGGTGTCACTGAGCGGGGGTTGCGGCGCCGCTCGGCTTCCCGCTCGCAGGTGACACGGGGAAAGTCTTTGTCCCTCGCGTCCTGTAACAGCGCGGCCGAGCGCTCCGCGGGGCCACAAGTGCTTTATTTCGATGGGACACTTTGGTAAACGCGGCAGTGAAGGACAGGCTAAAAAAACATGTTCGTGTGCTACTTTATTTCCTTATATTCGTTATGGCAATAAATAATCTTAACTATTAACGGTAGCAGCGGAGAGAGAAGCGGGAAAAAAAAAAGAGGGAAGAAAGGGGGGATATTTAAACGGGTAGCGCGGCGGGTGCCGTTTCCCGGATGCTTTGGGAGGGCTGCGGAAGGGGGAGCC